CTCACAAAGAGGGCTCAGGCAAGGTGACCCACTATCACCTTTCCTGTTCTTAATCACTATGGAGGGTCTGAACAGTATGATTAAGACAGCTAACACAAGAGGATGGTTGAAAGGTTTTGATGTGTCGAGAGATGGTGCTGAAAGTTTGGATGTGACACACCTTCAATATGCTGATGATACACTCATCTTCTGTGGAGCAGAGGAAGAACAACTGAAATATTTAAGGGTGATACTGGTCCTATTTGAAGGGGTATCTGGCCTGCACATTAATTGGCGGAAAAGCTTTATGTATCCCATTAATGAGGTCAATAATATGAATTATATAGCCTCAATTCTTGGGGGTGCAGTTGGCACTTTGCCAACAACCTACTTGGGCATGCCTTTGGGAGCAAAATCCAAGTCTTTTGAAATCTGGAATGGCGTGATAGAGAAGTGCGAGAAAAAATTGGCTAGATGGAAAACTCAATACTTATCAATGGGAGGGAGGTTGACCCTCATCAACTCGGTACTTAATGCTCTACCAACATACATGATGTCATTATTTCCTATTCCAGCAGGGGTCATCAAAAAATTGGATAGGATAAGAAGGAATTTTTTGTGGCAAGGTAACAGCGAGAAGAAGAGATTTCACCTGGTGAAATGGGAATCTGTGGTAACTGGGAAAAAGAATGGCGGATTGGGAATAAAAAATCTGATATTCCAAAGTGAAGCACTCAGAATGAAATGGTTGTGGAGGTACTCGTTTGAAGATCAGTTAATGTGGAAAAGAGTGGTAGGTGCCAAATATGAGGCGGAAGATAGTTGGATGACCAAGGATGTGACTTCACCTTATGGGGTCAGTTTATGGAGATCCATAAGAGAATTATGGGAGGAAGTCAAACTCAACTCCAAGGTGAAAGTGGGGAATGGGAACAAGACCAAATTCTGGAAAGATGAATGGCATGAGTTAGGTAATCTGGAACTCCTCTTTCCAGACATATATAACCTAGTTCTCTCACAACAAAGGACCATTGCAGAGATTTGGACAACACAGGGCTGGAATTTCCAGTTCAGAAGACATCTCAATGACTGGGAAGTGATGAGAGTGGCAGAATTTCTCAACATTGTTGGAAACTTCAATGGACTCCAGGCTGAAGAGGATGCATTATGGTGGAAAGGAAGCAGCAAAGGTATATTTAAAGTAGGTGCAGCTTACAGGTTGATGGAGCAACCAAGTCAACAGATTCCTATCTGGCCATGGAGACAAATTTGGAAAGGCAGAATTCCTTATAAAGTCTCATGTTTTATATGGCTGCTAGCTAAGGAAGCAGCTTTGACACAGGATAATGTTATGAAAAGGGGGATAACCTTATGTTCTAGGTGTTTTCTTTGTGGAGAAACATCAGAAACTGTTACTTTCTCCATTACACTTAATGCTCATCAACAATCTTGTCCACTTTCTTCACCTCGTTTTTTAGGTGAGTAACTCTAAATTCGTGAAAGGTCATTCCTGGGCCCAAGACAACATTTCATAAATTCATTGAGGTCGTAGGATAACAAAGCCCAGGATGAAGTCTCCTATTTTTTCTTACATGAAGTTAGTGTTACTCACCTAAAAAAGGGTGAAGAAAGTGGACAAGATTGTTGATGACCATAAAGTGCAATGGAGTAAGTTCGAATTTTCCATTATGATGGACAAATGAATGGTAAGAAATGATCATCAATATTTTGGTGAATTCTCCAAAAGGTAGTGTCTTTCTTGGTTTTGTTGATACTAACAACGAATCTACCGATTTTACCAAAATGTACAACTGTTCTTTGAGAGCACTATTGAGAGAATCGGATCAGAAAATGTTGTAAAAATTGTCATTGATAATGCTAGAATGTCAAAGCAGGTGACATGATTGGGTCTATACCACACATTTATTGGACTCCATGTGTTGCTCATTGTATCAATTTGATGTTTGGTGACATATTCAAGACTAACCCATATAATTCAGATAATATAACTTTCATATCCTCTAACTTTCTTTATGTTAACACTACTAACTACTACTCCCTCTGTCCCAATTTATATGACTTACTTTCCTTTTTAGTCAGTCCCAAAAAGAATGACACATTTCTATTTTAAGTAACAATTTGCCTATAAAATGTCTTTTTTACCCTTAATGAAATGATTTACAACCACACAAATTTCTATCATTCATTTTGGACCACAAGTTTTAAAAGTCTTTCCATTTTTCTTAAAGTTTGTGCCAAATCAAAGTACATCATATAAAATGGGACGGAGGGAGTAACTAATATGATATTCCTTTTACAGTTTTTAAAAAGGCCATCAAGATCCATCTTATAGTCAAAGGTCGTTGTTGAACTTTGATGAAAAAATTCACTAATGAAATTTTTTTGGTGAAACCAGCCAAGACAAGATTTGCAACGGCCTTATTGACTTTCCAAGTTATGTACGTACAAAAGAAAAACTTGAGAACTCTGATTTTCTCAAGCGGATGGTTTTGCAAAGGAAATTTTGGGGAAAGAAAATGTCAACCATCTTATTTCTGCACACTTGTGGAATGATGTTGTTCAGCAACTTAAATGTTTGCAGTTCTATGACGAAAGTGCTCCGTTTGGTGGATGGGGAAACATCCCCACCAATGAGCTATATTTATGAAGCAATGGATTGAGCCAAGAAAACTATTGAATGGGCTTTTGGTAGAGTTTAGAGGCAATATGAGGAAGTGTCCGAAATTATTGATGCAACTCCATCCGCCTCTGCATGCAGCAGGCCATATTTTGAAGTCGGGGTTGTTTTATACTGCTCTAGAAAATGATATATTAGATTTAGAAGTGTAGATGGGTTATCATAGATGTGTTGAGAAGATGAACTCCAGTATAACAACACAAGATAACTAGTCGCTGAGCTTTCTAAGTATAAAAATGCAGATGGGATGTTTGGTTGTGGGCTAGCCCAAGAGCCAGAGACTCAAGGTCACCACGTAACTGAGTTGGTTTAGTTCATTATAGCTTTACTTAAGTTATTTGACTTAATTATACTTATTAACCTTAAAAATTATTTTTTCTATTGTTTAATGGTAGTCAAACTCCAACGTTGCAAAAGTTTGCTATGAAAGTATTAAGTCTAGCTTGCAGCTTATTCGTATGTGAGTGAAGTTGGAGTGTGTTTGAACACATAAGAAGAAGATTTATATCCTATTACTAAGTTATATTATTAGTAGTACCTACTAATTGATCTCTACAACTTATATGCAGATTCATTCCAAAAAGAGAAATAGGCTTGCACTATCACGTCTCAATGATCTCGAGTACAATAGAACATTGAAATGTCGTTAAGATGCTCATGATACCATTGATGCAATTGTCTTGGAAAATATTGATGGGGCAAATGAATCGTTAGTTGGATGCACCGAAGATAAAGAAGATGAACTAGTATATGAGGGAGGTGATCTTGCTTGGGGTACTGTTGTTACGACAGTTGGAGCTGACGAGAACATCTATGGTCTTTTAGGGGAAGTTCTTCAAGTTCAAGGTCACTTGACAAGGATAAAAGAGTACATACTACATCTACAAGTTCAAGTCTTACTCGACCCTAATTGATGAAGAATCCAAGGAGGAAGAAGATGAGGAGCAATATAATGAAATGGATCTTGGACTTCCAAGAATTGGAAAATCTTGAAGAAGAATAGACTTTTAGAGTTCTAGTATTGTTGTCTTATGAATTATTGACTCATTCAAGTTCTAAACTTTTAGTATCTACTATATACTGTCACAAGCTACTACCAGTATCAATCCAATTAAGAGAACCAGCAGCTCCTTCATGAAAGATCCATTTATGCTGAAAACCAACAGCCCCACTTATAATCAACTCCATCAGGCCACCACCAGTGCTACTGCTAAGAGAAAACCAATTGCTGCATTTATGCTGGTATTATACTTGAGGGTTGTTTTACAACCTAACTTGTACATTCACGGTGTTATACACTAGCTCCCTTATCCAGTTGGATCTCCACAACCTACAAACACTTGGCTTACGAGCAAGGATAGGAAGCCTAAGGAATAATCACTATAGTGAATGAAAGCATGAAGGATGGAGGCAAGAAATTGTAGGACACTCTTGGACTCTCCGCATGACCACTAGAATCCTAATTTTCCCCTCTATCCACTCTACCTATAGGTTGACGAACAGAACAAAGATAATCTACATGAAGAATCGTCTATAGATATGGAATTCGTTTGGGCATACCCACCTAAGCATTATCTCCTGAAAGGAGAATTGATACAAAGGATTGATATAGTCGAATCCAACTAATTCAGAACTCGGGCATAATTAATTAATTGGTTGACACAAATTTTGACTCACATTCTCAGTCTCTTTTGATTCATCATCTGCACTTTAGCAACAATGAAAATAAACAGGGATACATGAAAACAATTAAAAGGAAAAAAGGTTGTCAAACATCCCAATGAACAGCATTCAATCATACTTTAATTTATCTTCTCTCTTTCTTCTTTTCATCACATAAGGAGCTGGATGAGTGTCTGTGAAGATTCCATTAGAATACCATCCTTAATAAGACTGTCAATACCCAAGTATGAGGGTCAACACATCAAATTTGGATTGATTTCTCATATAGTCACTTAGCTAATAGTTAAGTTACCTTTATCAAATCTCCAGCATAAATTCACACTGCTTCCTTTAATACTGTACTTCCGTTATCTAGACTGCTTTGGACTATTTTTCCTTTAGTCAAGCGTCTATCGGAAACAGACTCCCTACCTCCAGTTAGGAGTAAGGTTTGTGTACACTCTACCCTCCCCAGTCCCCGATTTGTGGAACCACACTGGGTATGTTATGTTGTATTAAGAACTCATAGTCAAAGGAAAAAGTACAATGGCAATGCAGCAATATATAGCTAGGGTTTTGGATCTTAACAGAGCCTAGAATTTTAACAGGAGCAATTTATCTGATAATCTGAATTAGGAGAATATGATGGAAGAAAACAAACCTTGAATTTGGCTTGTTTAAGAATCGGAGCATCGCCAGTTGCTCTTAAATGAACAATCACTACATAACCATCAAAATCAACAATCAATCACTACATACTCATCAAAACCAACAATCAAATCACTACATACTCATCAAAATCAACAATCAAATCACTACAGGATCAACAAAAACAAAAAACAATAATCCATTGAAAACAGGGGGCGGAATTTGATTTTTGACGAAATTTAAGCAAGTAATGACACCTTTACGAGAATCGGAAGCCATAGCTGAATATTAGCTGATTATTTTGCTTCCCTCACGATTTCTGCATTCTCTCTTCAAAGCCCCTTTCCTGAAAATAGTAGTGCGTCCAAATTTATATCAGGGCTAATGGTTTCCGAGATGAATAGTCAATTTGGTTATCTATCCTGTTTTTATAAATTTAATAAAATAGTGAACTAGTTATATATATATATATATATATATATATATAT